GCAAACCCTCAACATGTGCTCCTGATGTGATGCCATGGAAATATCCATCATCTGAGTTGTGCCTGTGCCAAACATGTTTCACCGGAATCTAATCGAGAGGAAACAAAAACGAAGTGGGGGTTAGTCTCCAAGACAACCAGCCTGGGCTCTTCAACAGAGTCAGATGAAAAATAGACTGTAAACAAAAAGGGAGGACTGTACTAGATTAAAAGAAATTAAAGAGACATAACCAAATGTGTGAACTTTGATTGGATCTTGGACTTTAAATTTTTTAACAGCCATAAAAGACATGTGGAAGCAATTACAGAAATTTGTATATAGACTATACATTAGATGAATAAATGTTTGATTTCTTAGGTGTGATAACATATTTTGCTTACATAGAAGAATGTCATTTTTCTTGGGAGATATGTGCTGAAGTATTTAGGGGCAAACATCATGATATCTGTACGTTGCTTCCAAATAGTTCAGAAAAATGGAGATACAACACAAACATGGCAGATTGTTAACAAAGCAAAGGAATACGTGTGTCCATTGAATTCTTCTTTCAATTTTTCTGTAAATTTGCGAATTCTCAAAATAAAGCCTTGGGGGAAACTAATAGCTCTGATGCTTCAAGACACTCAATAGAAATCTTGAGCCTCTGTGGCAAGAATTTTGTGAATGCCTAGTTTGCAATGCACGAAAGGAAGCAAGTGAATTGCTTTGGCAGTAGGTCCACAGTGCCCAGGTACAAGGTGACATCCAGTTCTTTAGCACTGACAACTAGTGACCATACTACTGTTTGCTGAGGTTGGAAATACTGAAGAAGGAGACAGCTTTAGAGGGAGAAGGGGAGTAAAACATTCAATTCTGCATCCACAGATTCACAAATCCCACACCAGCCCTGGGTTATGAATCCCTGATGTAAAAGATGGAGCACAGAGCACAAGACTCAGCACAGAGGAGCGATGGATAGAAGGAAAGGAAGCCGTGATGGAGACTGGAAAGAAACAGCCAGAGAGGTGGGGAGACCCCAGAGAGGTGTGGGTGGAGTCACAGATGCCAGGAAGTGGGGTCCAATGATGTAAATGCCACTGAGATATCAAATACAATAAAAACGCTTGTAAGTGTGATCAAAAATTGGTTTTGTAAAAAAACATAGATTTTTTACAAAAATCTGCATGACCTCACTGGATCAACTCAAGGCACAAGGGTAGAGAGTCTAGATGCACCCAAATGCTGTTTGGCATCTCTCTGGTGCCACCAACTATATTGCTTGCCCTACTGATTCGAAGCCCCCATCAGCTCTTTATTGCACCCATCGGACCATCTCCCTCCTTCAGAGGCTGCCTGGTTATGCTGGAGAGAGCATCATTCTTGGCCCCATCCTTCCTGGGTTTTGTTTTTTTTTTTCTTGTGCTTTCTAAGGAGGAGGCAGGCAGAGGCATTTTTAATGTGCTCTTTCAAAAGATGTTGAAGGCTGTTTGATACCAAAGCAAGTCCAAGAACTGAGAGATAAGAGATCAAAGGCTCTAAAAGCAAGCCCAAACCAAATCTCAAAAGCGAGAGAGATGATGGATAATAATCATACTGAATACATTTATCATTCAGCAGAAGCCAAAGATCAATGATGATAATGATCATGTAGACATGAGAGAATAGCTAAGAAAGGGAAAAAAGACAGAACAAGTTGGCCATCTCACCAGGCATAATCAATTCATGAGAATGAGTTGGTCACCTGTCACCAGTTCGAGAAACCCAATCCAGAGTTGATTCTACTGGGTTGGTAAGATGTCCCACCCAAAACTGACCAACTTAATTCTTTTTTCTTTTTGTTGTTCTGATTGGGTGTTTTCTGCTACCTTATCTTCCAGTTCACTGATTCGATCTTCTGCTTTGTCCAATCTCCTATGGTGTTTTCTGCTACCTTATCTTCCAGTTCACTGATCCGATCTTCTGCTTTGTCCAATCTCCTACTGAATCCTTCTAGTGTATTCTTAATTTCGGTTATTGTATTCTTCATTTCTGTCTGGTTCTTTTTTATGGTTTCTATGTTCTTTTTTATGCTTACTATCTCTCTGTAGAGGTTCTCAGTGTGCTCATCCATTCTCCCCCTAAGTTTGTTGAGCATCCTTATAACCATTATTTTGAACTCTGTCTCTGGTAGGTTGTTTCCCTCCATTTTATTTAGCTTATTTTCTAGAGTTTTCTCCTGTTATTTCATTTGTGGCATGCTTCTTTGTTTTCTCATTTTATTAGCCTCTCCGTGTTCATTTCTATGCGTCAGGAATATTTCTTTTGTCTCTCAGCCTTGGCCAGATGGCCAAATGTGAAAGGTGTCTGTGGCCCAGTGGTGCCCTCTCCCTGATCCCCCATGATGGGGGCTCTGGATGTGATCTTTGTGTGGGTTGTGTGTGATCTTCTGTTGTCACCAAGCCTTTATTGTTGTTAGCACTTCAGTGGATGGGATTAATGCTCAGGTTAATTGTGGGAACTGGCTGTGCCCACAGGGTGAGTTGCTGTGTGGGGGCTGACCCCACTGAGTGGGATTTGTCCTAGCAGGCTTGTGTACTTGTTGCAACCATCCTTTGTGTGTACCACTAATGGGGCTAGTCAGGATTTGCTCTGTTGTGGTCTGGTGCCAGCCTCCAGATGCATTGGTTTTGTGGCCCCTTGGGAAGGGCTCTCCCATAGGCCAAGGTCAGCCACTGCTTTTGATTGCTCAGGGCTACCTGGTTGGAGCTACAAAGTGATATGCAGATGGTAGTTACCTATGCTGGATCTATAGCTAAATGGAAGAGACAACACTGTAGGCAGTGGCAAAACTGACCAACTTAATCAGCATTTTCAGTCTGCCATCCAAATGCCTGGAGTCATATAGACCTGGCATGGCAGAAAATAAGTCTCTCATGCTTGTCTCCTCCGGTTACAGAGTACTGACCACTGCAACTGGGAAAGCTGAGAACTTTTCATCATCTAACACATTTGCGAAATTCATTGGCTTTAACAAACTGTTCCCCAAACACCTGGCCTGTGTGTTCTCCTCTAGCCAGCATGTGTTATATCATATTCAGAAAGTGCTTATAAGCTCTCATTTGCCTTGAGAAATATCCATCAGCTGTCAGAAAAGCTAAAACCCATCTTGGCTCTGGTGAAACATTCACTTCAGGGAAACACACAAGCCAATTTGGTCAGACTTAATAAGTTTTAACAAAATCCAGGTGACGAAATCTATCTGGAAAAGCAAAAGAATCTTACAAGCAGCTCCAAGAAATGATTCTCAGGAGAAGGGGAAAAAAATGTGAACCCATTTATACCATGGTAGAAGGCAATCTGAAGTCAAACCTCACAAATGGGAACTTTCGTGTGACCCTGATCTAATATGGTGTTTTCTAAATGTCGTGAGATAGTGCAGCCTTCAGGCACTTTTCCCCTCATGCCTTAAAACCCTCAGACTTTGTCCTATAGGTAATCAAATTTAAACCCCATCAAATCTATGAGCACTCCCCAAAGACCACAGGCAACATCATAGAACCTACTTTAAAAATACCTAGTCTGTATTACTCTGATTGTGAGACATGAGGGACACTAGTCCTCAAATTTAAGAGAACTGTTCCTTATTCCAGCAGGACCTGCTCTATTTTATATGCAGAGGTGCAAGGCCATGTCTGCAATTCAGGAGAGCTCCATTTAACATGTGTGAGTACTCAGTAACATACAGGCATGGTTTTTATAGAGCCCTTATATTCCCAAATTGGCTTTAGATTTGAAACCCTAAGCTTCGGTATAAAATAGGAACAGGCACTGTGTCTTCGCTAATAATAGGGTTCACCTTCCTGAGCCTCCCAGAGATGAGAGCTGGAAAGGGAGCTTTGGGAGCATCCAAAGGACTGAACATGGTGCAGCCTGAACAAGCAACCTGCTGAGACCACTACTCTCCACCTGGCAAGCTCTGCCACATGCCTTCTGTCACCTAAAAGGGCTCTGTCCTCTCAAAACACAACACAGTAGATAAGCATGTGACACTAAGAAGGCACCCAGGCACTTACAGCCCATTGCATGAGCTGGAGACACATATTAGCTTCTTAAAGGGAAGTTCTAGAAGTTAAGAACAATAAAACCCAACCCGATTAGAAAGTGGTTTTTGAATAAGAATAAGCTAATGGCTGTAGCTTTATAAAATCTAAAGATGTTCTATTAAAAGCCTACCACCAAACAGCTGTGAAAATAAACCAGCAGCACTCTTGGATGGGCTTCCTCCACGTGCAGGACCACCCCAGAATCTGCCATGGGGACCACTGTTTATCACAGATACTTCAGTCAACATCCAGGGATAGATCCGCAAGAAGGAACTCTGTTCATGCTCCTTCAACAATGGAGATGAGCAAATGTGATTTTTCTCGGCAAGTGATTTAGGTACAAAAACAGTTAAGGGGCATTTAAGTTGATGTTCATTTGGAAGGTGTGCAAAATTTCTTAGTCACAGGGCCCACATGTCCCAAACAGAAAGAACAAATCACAAGCGAAGTTTGACACATCTTTTTATGTACAAACGGTCAATGATACAGATGGAGTTACTTTTTATAAATATCTGCAGCAAATCCCCTAAAAAAAGCTGTGAATAAAAACTACCTTTCTACACAAAGGGCCTGTCCGTA